CAAAGGGCTATCCCGGGTATCCTTCAACATTGTTGTATCCGTGAGGAAAAACTGTAACTTGTGATGACCTTTTTTATCAACAATTGTGTTTGCAGCACTCAGCCTCCAGGCAGATGCTCGCAAATGCTCTGATTACCTTCCTTCCGCCCATGGCTATGTCGAACCTGGACACAGGACACCTGATGGTCCAGATGGGTTTCGGATGTCCAAGTCTGGTCAGGACCAGGGGGTTTATTTATTTATTTTACGTTCTGTTTTTTAAACTTTTTTTGGGCTCTTTTATTTTAGTTCTGTTTTTTTTTGGGTCCAAAAGTTGTTTGTATTTCAATGCTGCACAAACTAGTTGCCTTGAAATTTATTCCAGAAGTTTCTTTTTTTTGTTACAACCTGCGTACGGATCGGGGCCGCCTGGCCGACCGGCGCCTGCCCGGGGGAGGTCCCGGGCGGCCTGGCCGGGCGGGCGGCCCGGTTGGGGGCCGGGCTCCCCCAGCACACCTTGTTGGCGGGCGGTTTCCGACCCCGAATCGGCGAGATTTTGCCTTCCCAGGGCCTACTGGGTCCGACCACGCTGAGAAAACGGCGCGTTGGGCCCGTGAGGCCGTTTTTTTTTTTTTTTGAATTTGGGACGGCCCTCTGGCCGTCGATCGTCCATGATCGACGGCCAGAGGGCCGTTCGTTTTTGGAGGGAAAACGGAGGCCCCGTTTGAACAAGCGACTGGCTGGGGCGGCCTGCATTGGCTGTCCAAACGGGGCCTCGATACTTGCTCCAGCCGCCTGCGTTCATCGTCGAGTCGCCTGTCGTCGAAGTAGCTGCCCCTCGTCGCCACCGCCTGGGAGCTTCACTCGCCCGTCGTCGTCGAGTCGCCCGTCGCCCGCCGCCAGCGTCGTCGATCACGGTGCTCCTGCCTGCCGACAACCCCTGCCGCCCGTCGACGTGGAGTGCCGGTCTGTTCTTCTTCTTCTTCTTCTTCTTCTTCTTCTTCTTCTTCTTCTTCTTCTTCTTCTTCTTCCCTCCTCCTCCTCCGCTCATTCTTCTTCTTCTTCTTTCCTCCTCCTCCTCCTCCCCCTCTCATCTTCTTCTTCTTCTTCTTATACCTCTTCTGCTTTTCTTCTTCCATGACTTCTTCACTTCTCCTCCTCCTCCCCCTTTCATCTTCTTCTTCTTCATCTCTCATCATCGTCCTCCCCCTCATCTTCTTCTTCTTCTTCTTCTCTCCTCCTCCTCTTCCGACTATCTTCTTTTTCTTCTTCTTTTTTTTACATTCGTTAG